GTTTAAGCTCGCATTATTGCTTTTTTGGCCTATTTTACGCTAGTTTGTGTTCCTTTTGTCACATTTCAGGTCCTAGCACATAAAGTGAAGTATAGGCGCAAGTTTCAAGTCAATCGGAGATCAATTGGCGACTCGGGGGGAGAAACTCGGGCTTGACTTGAAGAAGAATGGATTTCTAACTCATTTTGTGACCATAGAATCATGTAAGCTTGTCATGAGAAGAAAGAGGACGAGACTACGAGCGTCTGGGATCAAATGGCACCTAATTTGGAGTCCAAACAAGGGAGAAACGAAGAATCAAGGACATGGGACCCTGAAGCCAGAATCACAAGGCCCCCCGGTCGTGAACCAAAAATACCCGGCCGGGATACCCAAAATACCCGACCGGGTATTTCCATTTTTATTTTGGATTACACAACCCTTAGAACCCGACCCAACCCGTTCCAACTATTGGTATGAGTTCGGATCCAAAAAATATTTGTTTCGTATATAGCCATACTTAGGAGAAAATTAAGATATTTCACCATGTTTTTCTCTCATGGTCTCCCTAATTTAATTCATTCTTCGACTTAAAGTTTAAACATAAATTTAATATAGCTATGATTCACGTAATCCTTTTTCTGGTGTACAATTTTAATAGAATAACATATTATGGATGCGTTCGTTTATAACCTTTTTAGCCTATTTCAGCAAATGTCGTGAAAAAACTAGACATATGTTGAAGTAAATCACATTTTATTAAAATTCAAACAACATTTGTGAATTTTGATACCTTTCACCTTGGTTCATTCATTTGAAATTTTAAATAGTGATAAAATATTTTAATGGCATATAATAATTCTACATCTACACAATAAATAAAAGCCAAATGAGAAAACTTGAAGGCTCATTTCAAATTTCCTGCATCCAGAGTGAAAGTAGGAAGGACATTTTGGTCTTCACAATTAGTTTTTTTTATTCATTAAAAAGACACTTACTAGGATTCGAACCATGACCAATTTAAAGAAAAACAAAGATCATAACCAATCACACTAAGTACATTTATTGTATTTTTTAAATTAAAAATATATAATCGCAGAGAGGAAAAAACCCTTCCCCCATTTCAAATTCCCTGCTCCAGGAGCATTTGTAGGAAGGGTAGAATAGGGAGTGCCAATTTTTTTCCTTTTCCTCTGTGGAACGGGCCAACTTACCGTACACATGCGGATTTAAACGGGTCCAGGAGTGTCAATTTTTTTCTTTAAATCCTTTTATTTCTCCGTGGTAAAATATATATGAAAAGGCAAAAACAATACTCTTTTTTATTGCTAAAAAGAAAAAAAATTAACAATAAACTAATGCATGGATTCTAATGGGCTAACCGCTAATCATAAAATAAAAGAGTTGAATGGGCCTGACCTACACGGGATTTGCCCATCAAGTAAAACAAATGAACATCATGGGTTTGTCATTCTAAAACAAGCTATTTTCTCTAGCATAATATATATTATGCTATTATTTTATATCTTAATGGCTAAAATATAATATATTTTAAAGTTATTAAATGGTTAAACCTCGACCAACCCAATTAGTCCATTTTTTTTTATCATTTCAAGTATATATTATGTAATTATTTGATATCATAATGATTAAATTATAGTGTATATTATAGGGAATCGTTTGGTATTTGTTAGTAAAAAACTAAACAGAAAGATCTATTTGGTTATATTTAACATTAAAACGATCCTAAACATTTTTAGTTTCCTTTCGAAATTCTATAGTTTTATTCCCGAATCAGTGATGTGCAAATGGCGAATTGCAGTCATCTCTTTTCTTTCATTATTTTTTATTTTCAAATAGAAAGTTTAAAAGTAAAGAATAATTAGAATTTGACATGGGTCGGTCAAACGCATTCACTTGTTCAAATCGGTTGAAGCAAAACCCAATTTTTTTGAAGTTTCACCGATTAGAGGGTGGTGGAAGCGACAACCATTCTCAAGGTCAAGTAAAAAAGAACTTAACTAAGATTTAGACATAAGTATGTGTGTGTGACAATGTGAGAGGCTCTTCCTAGTGTAGAAACACCTTGATAAGGAACCTTAAAGTATTTGTCACTTCCATGAGGTCTTGAGTAACCAACTTTGATTGTTTTCTTCATTTGACCTTAAATTTATTCAGTTTCAATCAATTGCATAGGGGCTCTCATTTATATGTACCTCAATCCATTACAAAAGATAAATAGAGTATCAATTTAATCTGTAGGTTGAACTACTCTTGCCACCAAGGTTGTCAACCGGGTGGGTCGACCCACTTTGATCCGGACGAATTCCAAAAATACACATGTTTTTAAAAAAAATTCCCAAAATACACACGTTATAAAAAAATTTCCCAAAATACATATGTTTGGGCATCACCGCTGTTGTCAACCGCAGTGAATGCATTCACCGCGGCAGACCAAAGCAGTGAATGCATCACCGCGGTTGACGGCCGCGGTGAATGCCCGACTTAACTCTGAAACTTCAAACAAACGTAACTTTACGCTCGGTCATCCGATTGTAGCGAATTCTTTTTTGATTCCATATAACTTTTCAAGATCTTTCAATCTTCAACAAGACTTCATCTCAAAAAAATGTCGTTTGTTACCCCGAACGAGCAATTTTTCAATTTTGACAAACTTTGGAAGGACATAACTTTTAGCTCCTCAATCCGAACGTCGTAAAGTTTTTTTTTTTATTGCGCATAACTTTTTAAGAACTACAACTTTGACTAGGAAATAATTTTTTAAAAAAGAAGTATTTTTGGGTATACAGGATTTTGGGAATAACTTTGCCTTTACTTTTCACAAATCCACATACTTTCCAAAATTATGGTTATAATCAAAGTTGTAGTACTTCAAAAGTTATGCAAAATCAAAAAAAGTTTCATGACATTCGGATTGTGGAGCACAAAGTTATGATCTTCCAAATTTTGTCAAAATCGAAAAATTGCTCGTTCGGGGTAGCAAATGATTTTTTTTTTGGATGAAGTCTTGTCTCAGATTGAAAGATCTTGAAAAGTTATGTGGAATAAAAAAAAAAAATTCGCTACATTCGGATAACCGAGCGCAAAGTTACTTTTGTTTGAAGTTTCAGTGTTACGTCAGGCATTCACCGCGGCGGTCAACCGCGGTGATGCATTCACCGCTTTGGTCTGCCTCGGTGATGCACAAACATGTGTATTTTGGGAATTTTTTTTATAACGTGTGTATTTTGGGAATTTTTTTTTAATACATGTGTATTTTCGGATTTTTTCCCTTTGATCCTGACCCGGTGGAAAAAATGGGCCGCACATACCTGTTGGGTCGACCGCTACAAGGTATCGGGTTGGAGGTCAAATTGTGACATTTTTTTCTTTGTTTTGCAAAATGCGCCTATTTTCCGATTTTTCTTTTCGCCTAACTCAATCTCTGGAATTCTTAGTTGAACATTTGAATATTGATGTTATATAAGTGTGTGTGAATTTTCACTATATGTAGGATCTAAGTACGACATGTTACTTTGGTGTAATGTTATATGTTATTAATCATATGTTAGATGAGATTTAATATAATTTATCAAGATAAATACAATATAATGACTCTTTCTATATTTCCGGGCTAAACGGGTGACTCGTTAATCCTTGACCCACTAACTCAACCAAATCCGGACTAAAATGGGTGACTCGTTAACCCTTGACCCACTAAAAAAATTAAAGAATGGTGGTGGTGTCCTCTTATAGTAACCCCACACCTTCTAAATTTTTATACAATTAGATGTTTGATCAATGGTATTTTAATTCGTGGGGGGTGGGAATAGGGATTTATGTTTTTGTGTCTCGATTCACTTGAACAAGCACCATGTCCTATATTTGTAATGACTTTTGATCACTAGTTAGTGGAGAATATTAACCTCTCACCCAACATATCTTTTGCCAAGTAATCACTTTTCATGGATTAAAACTCCTAGTTATATACTCTTGCCATGAAGCATGCCGATATCTGTGTAAACGAACTTGTTTAGTACACGAAAATCGAAGGTCGACATTTCATAATAACATCGTGGAAATGAATCTGTTATTAATTTTCAATATACTTTTTATTATTATAATATGTTTAATATACTTTCATTTGCTCACTTTCAATATCAAATTTCTTTAATATAGTCAGAGAGTCGAATATAATCACGAAAAGAACCGTTTCGACATTCAAATCTTTATCCGATTAAAAAAAAATTAATTGCACAATCAGAATAACTAAATCAGACCGGAAGGCTGGAAGAATGTTTGAGACAAGGAGAAAAGGCAAGGTTGTCAACCCGCGGGTTGACCCGGACCCGGTCGAGCTAGTGGGTCAAGGGTTAATGGGTCAACCATTTTAGTCCGGTTTGGCCCGGAAATGTAGAAAGAGTCATTATATTGTACTTATCCTCATAAATTATATCAAATCTTATCTAACATATGAGTTATAACATATAATATTACACCAAAATAACATATCGTACTTAGATCCAACATATAGTGAAAATTCACACACACTTATATAACATAAATATTCAAATGTTCAACTTAGTATTCCAAAGATTGAGTTAGGCGAAAAGAAAAATTGGAAAATAGGCGCATTTCGCAAACTAAAGAAAAAAATAACACAATTTGACCTCCAACCCGGTACCTTATAGCGGTCGGCCCGGCGGGTGCGTGCGGCCCGTTTTTCTCACCGGGTCAGGGTCAAATTGGGTCGACCCGTGGGTCAACCCGCGGGTTGACAACCTTGAGAAAAGGTAACACGAGGAAGAAAGCCCAGACTGGGATATAGAGAGTGGCGGGCTCAATATGAGATGGCCCATAAATGGACAAGGCCCAGGCCTGCTATATAATTAGTTAATTACTGAATAATTGAAGGAAGAAAAAATCGGGTATTATTAATTGATAAAATATTCATCCGTTGGAAAAGAAATAAAGAACAACTAATAAAATAATTTTGCCTGCTCGTAACGAGAACAGAGGAATCTTGCCTGCGCAGAGAGAGGGAGGAGGACGTCACAACGGCTCTCCTTTCTTTCCCGGTTCGGCCTTCTCCAAACGGTTCTGCCAGAAGAACCTCAATTGTTCCTTCTCGGATTCTGGGTTTGTCTTCCAATAGCCATCCGGTTCGCGCGGCAGTATCTTCCATTTCCTTTTTTGCTGCTCGTCTGCCATGTAGATAGATGAACTATATTCTGTTTTGTGGGGGGTTCTTCTGATTCATGTTCATCTTTGAGAGGGGTTTTTTGCTGCTTTCTTCTCTCTTGATTTTTCGATTGGTGGGTTTGGTTCTGTTTCTCCTTTTGGTTTCTGGGATTTGTCGCTTGTTATTGGAAATTCGCGGGAAAATCAAGTCATTAGTTGCTTCTAGTTTAAGCCAAAGTCTGTTCCTTTTTCTGGATTGAATTAAGGTTGCTCAAGTTTGTCTGGTGAGTTGAAATTGGGTTTAGGCATTGGTGCTGCATTTGGTTGCTTTGACATCTTCCTCTGCAGATAATTTTGCGAAGTAGCTGACGGTTTATGTGCTCTCTAATTTTCAGATATGGAGAGGAATTATGGTAATGATGAACCATCAATGGCTCGCATCCAGCAATTGGAGTATGGTAATTGTTCTTACTTGGATTGCAAGCTTTCTACTGCCATGTCCTGCAATGACTAGGGCAATCATTTGGAATTGGAATAGTCCTATGCATACTAGGGCAATCTGAAAATTGTATCCATTTTCCTTATATGGGGATTGACTTAGTAGTTGGAGTTGGTAATTGGTGGCTTTTGGCCTCTTTGAGCTAACCTGTACTACGTATTCTTTTGTGAAGTTTGTTTGCAAACAATAATGCTAGTGTGTGAAGGGTTATTTGTTATTGCTCGAGGAATTTCTTTAGTCATGCCTTCGTATTACGTGTTGGTTCTCATTTCTTGGTGCTGTAGGTTGCTTGATAATTTGCTAGTTAGTGAAATCATAACACTGTATTTGAATCCTTTTGTTTCCTAGAGCGTGATGAATTGCACAGAGAGCGTGATGAGTTACGTAGAGATATAGAACAACTATGCATACAGCAAGCTGGACCTGGCTACCCGGCAGTCGCAACTCGGTTGCATTTCCAGAGGTATCATTTGTATTTTTTGATTCTTCTCATTCTTCAGTAGATGGGCAAACTTTCTCCCCCATATTCTGTTTTCACTATTTTTTGGTCCTGGGATTATGGGCTAGGTCTTTGCTGGGAGACGTTGGGGGTCCCTTTTATGTGTAGGTTGCTACGATTTAAGAAAGCATAAGGATTGTTAATGCCCTATTAGGACAGCTAGCTTGGAGCAGGAAATAGAGAATTTGAAGATGAAGTTAGCTGCCAGTACTAGAGAGAGTCGAAATCTTCAAGACGAGCTTTCAGAAGCATTTCGAATTAAACAGGTCTTCAGAATGGAGATACTGCTACAAGTGCTATTAAACAGGTTATAGCAACCTACTTGTATTTTGTAATTGGTTTCTACTTCATCTGTAAGATTTAAAAAAAGAAGTTAAATTCTAGATTTTATGTCAATCATTGGGCCTAAGCATTTGCAGTTATCATAATGAGGAAATTTTTCTCCTTAGTGTAGACAACTTACCTGAAGGCTTCTTCTTTACCACTCTATAAAGATTGTTCTGAGGCTGGGTATCATTTTCAGGTTGCTTCAGGACGTTTTGGTGTCACTCCAACTTTCTTGGTTAACGCTGATCAACTAGAAATAAAAATAGCACAAGGTGCCAAACCTGGTGAAGGGGGCCAACTGCCTGGGCAGAAAGTTAGTGCATATATTGCCAGGTTGAGGAATTCTAAGCCTGGGGTTCCACTTATCTCTCCACCACCCCATCATGATATCTATTCCATTGAAGATCTTGCTCAGTTGATCTTTGATCTCCATCAGGTGTGTTTTTCGGCTTGTAATTTTTTCCGTTATTGCTATAGAGTGTTTATGAATTTTAATGATGAAGTTAAGCGGATGGTGTTGCACAAACAGGTCAACCCTAGGGCTAAGGTCTCTGTGAAGCTGGTATTGGCACAGTTGCTTCTGGTGTTGCAAAGGCTAATGCTGATATTATTCAGGTATTGTCTTATGAATAAATTGATCCTTTTGGCCATCTTAGTTCCAAATCGTATAATTTTTTATTGAATGGAATGGTTCACTGTTGGATTATGAAAGGAAAAAAGATTGCTTTTGATATGTGCATTCAAGCTGTTTACGTCCCTTCTCATTTTCCTCTTTCATTCCATAGATATCAGGGCATGATGGTGGAACAGGAGCCAGCCCCATTAGTTCCATTAAGCATGCTGGTGGTCCTTGGGAACTTGGGCTAACAGAAACTCATCAGGTTATTTTTATTTGCTGTGCTCATCTTGTTAGCAACCAATCCTTTCCCTTAGTAACAGTTTATCATTTTCCAGACCCTCATCAATAACGGACTGAGAGAAAGGGTAATTCTTCGAGTCGATGGTGGCTTCAAGAGTGGCTTTGATGTCATGATGGCTGCAGCAATGGGAGCCGACGAGTATGGATTCGGTTCTGTTGCTATGATCGCTACTGGTTGTGTTATGGCCCGTATTTGCCACACGAATAATTGCCCAGTTGGTGTTGCCAGTCAGGTAATAATGGAAACTTTTGTCTGTGGCTTTACTGCGGATGCTTTGTTTCTATGTTAATCAATTCTTTTGATTCTTACTTAACTGCAGAGGGAAGAACTACGTGCTCGGTTTCCTGGCGTGCCAGCTGATCTGGTTAATTACTTTCTGTATGTTGCTGAGGAGGTGAGTTCTTTGTGAATAATATAAACTGTTTCTTTATTGTTGTTACTAAGCTGCCGATGTTCACTTTGGTCAATTATTCATGTCTTTGCTAGGTAAGAGGCGTGCTGGCAGAATTGGGTTACCAGAAGTTAGACGATATAATTGGGAAAACAGACATACTAAAACCACGAGACATCTCCCTTGTGAAAACCCAGCATCTTGATCTAAGTTATGTGCTCTCGGTGAGTATTAAAGCAACTTCTGTTTCTCCTTGGCTATCATGGTATTTCTAGCCACGGGCTTCCTGTTTGTTTCAAGTAAACTTCATATGGTTCGCTCGTCTACATTTCCAGAGTGCCGGATTACCAAAATTGAGCAGTACAGACTTGTTTTGGACGACAAGATAGACACTCGCAGATCCAGAGGTAAGAATCTTCATCCTTGATATTGTGTATCATTAGCTAGCAACTGGTCTTCACGGCACATGGGGAGTTATTGACCAGAAAATGAGATATTTTGGCCTCAATCTGAACAGTTGCTTTTGACTAGTTTTAACACAAACTACTGGTTGTTTGCTTCTTTTCCTTATAAGCCTTCGTTTACATGTTCAGATTGCAGATGCAATTGAGAAGGAAAAGGTTGTTAACAAGACTTTTCATATATTCAATGTGGACCGTGCTGTCTGTGGGCGGATATCTGGTGCAATGGCCAAGAAATACGGCGATACTGGTTTCGCTGGACAACTGAACATAACGTAAGATGTGTGGCTTACTAGTTCCCAATATTACAGTATTGGGACACCTAAGCTAAGAAAACATCTTCTGTGTCTTGAGTACTCATACTAGAATGTTCTCTTTGCACCACCAGGTTTAATGGGAGTGCAGGTCAGTCATTTGGATGTTTTTTGACTCCCGGGATGAATGTCCGGCTTGTAGGAGAAGCAAATGATTATGTTGGAATAAAGGTAAGGAAACACCGTCATCAACATTGCTTAAAATCAAGATTCAAGTCCGAAACTAACTATGTGTTTTGATGCTAAAAGGGTATGGCTGGAGGAGAGCTGGTGGTCACTCCAGTAGACAACGCAGGGTTTTGCCCTGAGGAAGCTGCCATTGTTGGGAACACCTGTCTCCACTGGTGGGCAAGTCTTCGTTCGAGGGAAAGCTGGGGAACGTTTTGGGGTTAGGAACTCACTCGGTCAGGCTGCCGTCGAAGGCACTGGAGACCATTGCTGCGAATACATGACTGGTGGCTGTGTTGTTGTACTTGGAAAGTAAGTGAATGCTGCAGCAGTCTGCCTCACTTCTCGTTTTAGTAACATAAAACTGAAACTGATCCGTAGAGTTAAAACCTACGACTCGCTTTGGTCGACAGGGTTGGGCGAAATGTGGCTGCTGGCATGACTGGAGGTTTGGCGTACATGCTCGACGATGACGATACCTTGATACCCAAGGTTTGTAGTTTGTTACTGCTGTGATTGAAGTCTCTATCAAATTTTTTTTTTTTTTTTTTTTTTTTTTTTTTACTGAAGCTCGGAATCCAAACAGATAAACAAGGAAATAGTGAAGGTACAAAGAGTGACTGCTCCAGTTGGTCAAATGCAGCTCAAGAGCCTCATTGAAGCTCATGTTGTAAGTTCACTACCCAAACCAGTAGTAACACTTAGGTTGCTAAAATGTAGCTATGAACTTCGTTTTTCTGCTGACACAAGCTCACTATCTTTGATTGAAATCCAGGAAAAGACCGGTAGCGCGAAAGGCGCTGCTATCCTCGAGGAATGGGAGAAATACCTCCCTCTCTTCTGGCAGCTGGTTCCTCCCAGCGAAGAGGACACGCCGGAGGCTTGCGCGTTGTCCGAGGCCACCGCCGCCGACCAAGTCACCACCTTTCAGTCCGCTTAAGATGTAAAGACAAATTGTTGAAATGGCTATTGGGCGGCGGCAGCAGCAGCAGCATGAACATGGCAATGCCATAACAAAAAGAAGACATTATTTCCCGTCGACCTCGTCGTAGGACTGTTGGCCTGTGGTATCAAGATAAGCAAATAAGCGGCGGAGGCCATTGTTAAGGTTTGTCATTGCTTCATCATCAGAAGCAGAGGCGATGGCAATACCAATTGCGGCAATGTGCTGCACAGAATGTATAGTTTGGGTAAAAAATTTCTCCTGCCGCAAGATAATGTAACCATATAGCCTGTCCAGTTGCTTTCTTTTGTATATCTTTTGGGCGGTTATGCTGTTACGTACTTGTGCTTAGATTGGAAATGCAATAGCTTGTTTGCTGTTTCATTAAATCAACAACGATCAGTCGTTTCTTCTCCTGCTAGCCAAGATCACTCGTATTAGAGCAAAGATACAAAAGAGTAGGGGTGGCAGTCGGTCAGTTTCGGTTTAACCGAAAACCCGGTTATCGGTTAAACCGAGCCACCCCCTATAGCTGCCGACCACCGACCGTGAGGTGTGTCACGGTTACCCGGCCAACCGACCGGTCGGTTTCGGTTTAAGGCTCGGTTAGCCGACCAACCAGAAAATGTAGCTTTTCTAAAAAAAATATATATATATTCTGCACCACTCACTCCTAACCCCTCTCACTTCTCGATTCTTCTTCTTCCTTTCTTCCAGAGAAACCCGTCGGCCGCCGCTAACCTATCTCTCTCCCTACTCTCTCTCGATTCTCTTCTTCCTTTCCAGAGAAACCCGCCGCCGCCGAGTATGCCTCCATGCCGCCGCCGCCGAGTACGCCTCCACGCCGGCCCAGCTCCAGGCAATCGTCCACTACGCCACCTCCCGGACCACGCCGCAGCAAAAAATCGACGGGGAGGAAACGACGACGGCGGAACAGGCGGGGGTCGCTGGTTGAGAGGGGTCAACCAAAAATAAAAAACCCAGAAAAGGGGTCAAAATCCCAGCAAAAACCCAGAAAATCAAACATGCAAAACCATAATCCGCCACTTACCATCGATTTGGAGGCTGGCCGGCACTCCAACGACGTATTATAGGCTGGGATCTTGTCTGATTCCGAAGTGGAACGATAGATGGGATCATGGGAAGTGATTTTCCCCTCTTTGTTTCTCGGAAAGAAGAAGAAAGTAAATCGAGGGAGGAGGGCATCTGATTTTAGAAGGCATGGCGGAGAGGGAAGGAATGGTTTTAGGGTCTCTGGTTAGCCGGTGGTGAGAAGGGGGAAGGGCTGGTCGGCGGTGAGAAGGGGGGAGATGAAGTGGAAGCGGATGTTCTCGGCGAGAAGGGGGAAGGGCTGGTCGGTGGTGAGAAGGGGGAAGGGCTGGTGGAGGCGGCGAGTCTTAGGGGAGGAGCCTGTCGACTGATTTGGGGGAGGAGGCTGAGTCTTAGGGTTAGGGTTAGTGGGGGCGTGGGCGGCGTCGTTTAAGGGGGAAGGGCAGGGGTCGGTTAGCCGGTTAACCGCCGGTTTCCGACCCCGGTTAGTCGGCTAACCGGCCCCCTGATAATCCCCACCGCCAACCGACCGCCCTCTTAGGAATCGGTTTTTCGGCTAGTCGAAAACCGGTCGGTTCGATTGAAACCGACCGGTTAGCCGCTAACCGGAAAACCGTCCGCCAGCCCTACAAAAGAGTTATGTGCTCACGATAAACTTTAAAAAAAACTTCCTTTATATTCAACTAAAGTATACAGGAAGGATTTTTCTAACCACTAAATGAGCCATTCTATTAAGGTTTTGTTAATTTTTCCTAATATTTGCCTGGTGATATTGATATTTATTATTTATGAAAGTATAGCGGCTCTTCCACACCACCTGATATTCATAATAGTTTGGCAAAAGCCAAACACACATTTTATGTTATAATGGTCCACATGGAAACCTAGGAGAGACCCTTTTTACCTTGTTGCTTTGAACCTGAATGGAGGTTTTTGGGTAGCCATGATATTTGGAGATATTATATAGGGTTAATACCACTGGAAATACCATCCTTTAGATAAAGTGCCATTTATATTACATGCTTTCAATAAACACAAAAATATTCCAATCTATTAGGGGTTTGTGCCATTTGTGTTACCCGAATTTATGTTGACCGTTAAAACTGACGGTTGACTTGACGGTGGCCCACTTTGTTAAAACTGACGGCGACACGTGGATGCCATGTTGGAAAAAAATACTTAAATTTTTTAAAAATATTATTTATTAATTATTTATTATTCTATTAACCCCATGCCCTATTTTTAACCCCAACTCACCCTATCTTTTTACAACATCGGGCCTCTATCCCCCAAGCTCGACGGACGGCGGCGGTTCTTTCCTGCACCTGCTTTCCAAACGACGACGGCGGCGGTGATTGTTTCGGCGAAGCTTTGGACGGCGGCGACACTGGAGCTTAGGAAGGCGGCCGTTGCTGTAAGTCCCCGAAGGTCGAGCTTTGGAAGGCGGCGGTGACGGTTTGCTGTTGAGGCGCCACAGAAGGGAAGACGAAGCAGATCAGTTGAAGGGTGGAAGAGTGGTCATAACTAAGGGTAAGTAAGTCGAAATTAGTTTGATTACAACCCATTCCATAAGATTCAACTTTATTGAACGTATTTTTTTCAATTGTGGTGCGAATGAAACCCTAATTTTTTATAACAGTTGGTTTGGTGACCATCACAACCATGTCTGGGCGAAGATCTAACCACAGCAAAGCAGAATCAAGCTCAGCCAACTCATATGTAGCGAAGTGCAGATGCAATGTACCGGCTACTGTAAATGTATCTGGGACAACAGGTAATCCAGGGAGGGAGTTTTACTGTTGTCCGTATTGGAAGAACGATGATAAGAGTTGTAGGTTTTTTCTATGGGTTGATCGTTTATCGTCGATGGACGACGATTCAAAGATGAAGCTCGTTGCTATGTTGGAAGAGAGATTGAAGGCGGTAGAAGCTAAGGCAGAACGAAGGAAGAAGGAAAAACAAGTGTTATATTCTGAGTTGGTCAAGACTAGGGATGAAAATGCCAGGCTGATTACAGTTGTGTATGTTTTAGCAGCTTTACTGATCAGTGTTATTGGTTGCTGCTGTTGTTTGAAGTGAGTAAGCTATTCTGAAATTGATGTTGTTTGTTGACAATTGAATGAAGTTCATTTTTAGTCGACGTTTGTTGTCAATATTTGAAGTTTTCTGTTGTAGTTTGAAGTTCATTTTTAGCATGATGTTTGTGCAATATAAAAGAATGTAGTCCTGAAAAGATCATTGCAACCATAAAATACTTTGCATATATCCGATCTAGAAGAGTCAGTAGTAACTAGCAAGAAAATTCATGAGAGCTAATTGAGTTTGCTCTTCAAACTGGAAGAGTCTACTCCTAACAAAAGCATAGTGCTCTTCAAAGTGGAAGAGTCTACTCCTAACAAGGCAACATACATAGTGCCATAACAAAAGTCTACTCCTAAATAGGCAACACACATTCTGCCCTATACTTATAGAAAACACATTATAGGCAACACACACTCCTAACTAGGCATTAATCTTGGGTTGCTGGTGGCTGGGAACCGCCTGCTTGGCATTAATCACAGCAGCTCCTCCATTGCCTCTGCCTCTACCTCCTCTTGTTGATCTGCCCCCACCACCTCTTGCAGATCTGCCCCCACCTCCTGCATTCCTGCCTCCTGCATTCCTGCCCCTTGTAGCTCTTCCTGTTGCATGCATCTAATAACAATCGATAATCAATAGTCCGTCCTTGACATTTATGCGAAACAAACACTCAAACAAACATTACCATTGCATTGACTTCATCATCCACAGCTGGATTCTTCCTCGGTCTGCCACGTGGGCGGCGTTCTTGTGGTTGCTGCAGTTGGACAGTGTAAATAAAGAATCTTGGATGACCAAAAAATGCAATTAAAGAACAAAGAGTTTACCTGAGGTGCAACTGGAATGGGACATCCTCTTTTGTTGTGTCCTTCACCGCTACAGTTTTTACAATGCATGACGATATTATTCCTCCGAATGGCAGTTCCTCCTCCTTCATGGGGTCGAGTGTCAAGCTCACCCGCCTCCTTGCGCCGATTCTTCTTAGGGCGGCCCGGCATTAATCCGAACCTTTGGAGGATAGACAGGATACCCCTCTGCTGTAGGCCATGTCTGTCGGCCATCCAAAGTAGGCAGCCCTCTTTTGTAGGCTTTCTTGTACTCAGAAACAAAATAATACTTATGCACAAAGAGGCTGGGGTCTAGCCTCTTCCAAGCCAAAGCCGAGACAGCATGTTCACATGGGACCCCAGTTAAACCCCAATACCCTCGTCCCCACAAGAAACTTCAAACTTATCTTCAAGTGAGGGCCTTGTCTGCCACATTTTAGCTAACTCCTTCGCCTTCTCAATCTTCTTTCTAATCCTAGGACAGATTGTATCCTTAAGCTTCGCTAATTTTTTGTTCTTGTCCACTATCCTAGCCATAATTTTCTTGCGAATCCCTTCTAACATATCAATTATTCTCAGTTCTCGCTCCTCTACGATATATGAATTGAAAGTCTCACATATGTTACTTTCTACTGCATCACACTTACAGTCATGAGACATGAATGCCCTACAGAATTTCTTGGGCTGCTGGTCATTGAAGTCCTTCAATAAAGTGGGGTCTTCTCCGCTGTTTTGAATAGCTTCCATTCTGCTTGTCACGGCTCGAAATGCTGCCAAGTTGGTTGCATAAACAGCACCCCAGTACAGATTTTGGAAGGTTTGTCCCCTGTGTTTTGGTTTCCAGTTTGCCAAAACGTGTCTCGCACACTTCCTGTGGTGTGCATATGGGCTGACACCCCTCAAGAAACCCTTTCCTGAGCATTGAGAAGCCCACATATAGCCTTTTGAATAGGACCCTATTTGCAATGGAACAAGGGTCCACTTCCAAAATAAAACGGCCTCTTGGATCAACACGCTTCAGCTCAGCAACATAAGGCCGCAACTTCTTATACTCCTCAATTAAAGAACCTCCCAATAGCCTCTTTGCATACAACCGCGCCCTATAACACTGCCGTCTGGACAATTCTACATTGTGAGTCTCCCGTATCTCCCTCTGCATGTGTTTCACTTCCCAATTCGGGTTGATTTGAAACCTCCCAATGTAGCGCTTGGCAGCCCAAACAGCATTGGCCCCTTTCATTCTAAGGGCACGTGGGCAAGAGTGCCTCGGCCCTACATTCTTCACCATGAAGCACTGCCGCCCTCCATGCCAACTTCCATACACATACCATCCACAGTTCTGCCTATACACTGCCCTCTTCTTCTTATCCGTACTGATGTTCCACTTGATATCAGCTCCTATCGAGATGCAATAATCAGACACGGCATCTTTAAATAGCTCACCTGACTCAAATTTCAGACCAGCCACGATGTTCAGCTGTGAATGGTCCCCATGTGAATCGTAAATAGCCCCATCGTCCTCATCATAGTTAAGGCCCGATGAGTGTCTGTATTGTGACTCCGGAACACTCCTCGAATTTTCTCCACCCTCAACCTCTCCTGCAGATAAGAATTGAGAATCATGCTCCATTTCTTCAGCATGGGCAGCAGGTTATTCCACCTCATCTTCACGGTTTGTCACACTCTGGAAGCTAGACTCATGCTCCATTTCTTCAGCATGGGCAGCAGGTTCTTCCACCTCATCTTCACGGTTTGTCACACTCTGGAAGCTAGACTCTTGCTCCACTTCTTCACCATCATCCTTGTAACTTGTCCGAACCATCCTCTTACGCTCATGCCTTCTCTTGTGGGCTCGTGCCTCGTGGAACTCATCGTCTGAGGTATGGATGTCTTCATCTTCGTCGTCGCTATCATCAACATGGACAATATCAGCTGCAATAGACTCTTCAGCCTTTTGATCTTCATCTCCCATCGCGCTGCCCCCTTCTTCATTCACTTCGTTGTCACCAACAACTCTTAACCCATCACTACCCTCAATAAATAGCACAATCTGCCCATTTTGGATTGAAGGAATCAACCCATCCATCACCTCGGCATCAGAATGCAACTCGTGAACCCCCTGCTCCATGGTAGAATGTGGTGACATGTACCACATTCGATCCACCCTCTCATAGTTCAAATAGACAACGCCAACTTGTCGAAGTATGAAGTAGGATAGCACGTCAATGTCGATGTCAAATGGCTCTACACTCCCACCAACGTAACGAGGTGTGCCTTGGGAGAAGTCCATCCGACCTCCATGGTTGACAATAAGCTCAACCATCTCATTTGCCATCCTGCAATAAAATACAATATTCTCATTCATTTCCCAACCAAACCGTCGACACAATTAAACAAGCAAACAGCTCCCCAACACAATCCGACTAAAATACAGCAAAAAACTACCTACAATCGAGGCATCAACTACTAGACAACGACAACACAGCCTACCACAATCACTATTCTATCAAATTGTCCAAAAAACTAG